CACTACCCCTGGCTCTGAGTGCCAACTGCCAACACTGCGGCCGGCCGAAGACAGCGTCCCAGCCCCAAAACAGCTGCTCGGGACAGATTTCTCAATCGGCAGCTGTGTTCGGGCTCACCTAGAACTCTCTCAGGCCAGTCACCACCTCCCCAGAGCCCCCTCCCCAAATTCTGTTCATGTCTGGCGGGAAGGGAAAGGGGCAGAACTGCTGCCTGGCTGGACCTCGCCCGCCAGTATGTCCATCCCAGAGACCAGTGATAGGCCCGTGGCCTCAGCCCAGCAGGCCCTCAGCCCCTGCCCCTCCACCCTAGACGCCGGCAGGACCCCAGATGCCTCCTGTGTTCCCCACACTGGCTCCCGACTGCCCCCAGCAGGTCACTCCCGGGATGTCTTCTCCTGGTTGGCCTGTTGTGCTCAGGGGGCTCCCATTTTCATCAGAAGATCCCCCAAATGTGATGAACTCACCATCGAGCCACCCACTCCAGACTCGATTTCTCACGGTGAAGACCCCCCCTCCTATTCACCCCTGGATTCCCTGCACCGGATGCAAATAGTGGGTACCTCTCCCCCTCATCCTAGTTTGCACCCAGACGGTGGGCTGGGAGCTCTGGCCAAGCACTGACCAAGCCAGGAGTCGAACCCTGCCCCTGCGCTCCGGTCACAAACCTCCCTCCTGGCGGCCACACACAACCTCCAACTCCCAAACACGCTGTCTCAAAAAAGTAAGGTCTCGAGCCAGTGAATTTCTCTGGGCGCAGGTAACGCATCGAATTCGACCCCTGATTTTCCCACTAGAACCGCCAACCTATAGGCTGAGAGTTAATCCTATGGCATTCACTTACTTCATACTGCAGATTTCTGCTCGGCCTCTAAGAGCTGTAATTCTGTCCAATTTTTTAAAAACGGTCCCAGCCGCACATTTTATCCTCTTTCCCCCCGTTTTTAAACTTATTCTCGGGCCAGACAACCTGGAAAACGATCCTCGTTACCGGCAACACGATAAGCACCGGGAGACGGTGAACTTCAGCACGAAACTTCTTGCGTTTTAGATCGCTGCGATGGTACGCAAGATAGGGGGAACCGAATTGATGGAGAGATGAGATGAACAGGAAGTTTGGGGCCCTGGGCTCGCAACGGGCAGGAGGAAGCCGGCACCCCCCGACACACACACACACACACACACACACACACACACACACACACACACCACCCATACTCTTCATGAACCTTTCTTTTTTTTTTTAAGCCTTCCTTTTCACATGCCATAAAAACCCCCTCCCGGGAACAGGAGCGAAGGCGGCCTGAGCGCCAGGTGGCGGGCAGGAATGACCAGCACAGAGGGATAATCTTTCCGCTTCCAGAGGAGGTAGATGAGTGGGAATGGCGATTACAATTACAGAAGGTTTCAGGTCGGAGAACTGAGTACAAAGTGCGGCTCCTACGGCGATGAGCCCCTATTTCCAAATGGCCTCTTTAACCCCCAGCCCCCTCGAATCGCTCGCTAGCTGGGGTATTTCCCATTTGCTCCCTGGGTGATGGGGAGGCGGGAACCGGGGGGAGGGTGGGGGCAGGGGAGCAGGCCCCAGGGAGCCTGGCGATGTTCTCTCTGCACCAAGCTCCGGTCCCCCAGCTTCCTCGCTCTTCCTCTGACCTAGATTTCTAGCTTCCCGCTCTCCACCCCCTCGGCACACACATCCCCAACACGTCCTTAGTGATACCAGCCGTTGCTTTGATGTTCGAAGCCATCGCGTTTTCTGTTCTCAGCAATTCTAGAACTCGAATATGGGACACGCTCTGATTTCCTGGGAACAAATGAGGAAATTCAAAACACACACATGCAAGGGCCCGAGTGGTGCGCTTAGGAACCCTGGCACGTCCTGGGGTGATGGAATCCTTCCTCCTTGGGGGGGAGTGGGGGTAGGGGTGCTGGCATCTGATCGAGCTACACTGACAGGCCCAGCATCCACGTTCCCGGGGACTCTGGGGGGGGGGTCCCCACGTTCCTTGGAGCTGTGTGGCAGCTCCGTGATGAGCCAGCTGGCACCGTGGTCCCCACTCTCCTGCTGTGGGCTGATGGGCTTTGCCAAAGGACAGAGCGCTTCCCAGGACGCACTGCTTGGGCCCGGGCCAGCCGAGACCCCAGGTTTCCTCATTTCAAGCCCAGACCGAGGTCCCTCTCATCCCCCTGGGGTGCAAACAGAAAGAAATTTCTCCCATCTCCAGGAACCCCCAATTTCAGCCGCATCCAGAAGGCGCCGACATCCCCATCCCCAAGCCAGCCCCCGCCCCCCACCAGTCCCTCCTGACTCCAGGCATGGGCCTCCAGCTGCTCCCCGACCTTCTCTTCCCAGGCGATCCCAGGGGGCAACCTGGAGCCCCCCCCACACACACGTGCAACGTGAAGCCCCAGAGCCTTCGCACACACCGGCTCCTCCTCCTCTTCCTCCTCCTCCTCCTCTTGCATCTTCTATTCCAGGGAAGGCAAAGCCACCCCCGCAGTCTCCCAAGCCAGAGCCAGTCATGCCAGAATCTCCTTCCCTCGCTCGGCTCCCCGGAACAGTCACGAAGTCCCACCCTTCTCGCTTCCGGGGTGCCTCCAAAGCACCCGCCACCTCGGGGCCCTGCGCCACGTGCCTGCCAGGCGACGTGCATCACCGGCGCCCTCGGCCTCTCCCCCGCCCCCCATCCCCCCACGCTCAGCGCCCTCAGGACTCTCCTCCGCCTTATTGCTGTTTCCCTCCAGAACGTTCCCAAGGGCCCCCCACCCCAGGCTTCAAAATCAACGTCCAGACATTTCCACGTGGGCTGCCGAGCCCTGTGCCTCGACTTCCCTTCTCCCGGCCTCTAGGACCCACCCCCCCATCTAAACTCCCTGGTACTTTGTTCCCAAAAGCAGCTTCCAAACGCACCACACTTTGCTCCCAGGACGCACCAGACCCTTCCCAGGATGCACCAGGCCACTTTCCAAGGACTCACCAGACCCCCTTTCCAGGACGCACAGGGCCCCTTCCCAGAATGCACCAGGCCCCCTCCCCAGGATGCACCAGGCCCCCTTCTCAGAATGCACCAGGCCCCCTTCTCAGAATGCACCAGACCCCTTCTCAGAATGCACCAGGCCCCCTCCCCAGGATGCACCAGGCCCCATTCTCAGAATGCACCAGAGCCCCTCCCCAGGATGCATCAGGCCCCCTCCCCAGGATGCACCAGGCCCCATTCTCAGAATGCACCAGGCCCCCTTCTCAGAATGCACCAGACCCCTTCCCAGGATGCACCAGAGCCCCTCCCCAGAATGCACCAGACCCCCTTCCCAGGATGCACCAGGCCCCCTTCCCAGAATGCACCAAAGCCCCTCCCCAGGATGCACCAGGCCCCCTTCCCAGGATGCACCAGGCCCCCTCCCCAGGATGCACCAGACCCCCTCCCCAGGATGCACCAGGCCCCCTTCCCAGAATGCACCAGGCCCCCTCCCCAGGATGCACCAGACCCCCTCCCCAGGATGCACCAGGCCCCCTCCCCAGGATGCACCAGGCCCCCTTCCCAGAATGCACCAGGCCCCCTCCCCAGGATGCACCAGGCTCACGTCCCAGAATGCACTGCGCCTCCTTCCCAGAATGCTCAGCGCTTCCCCCCCCCCCCCTCCCCTGACTCTCTGAGCAGTTCCATTCATTTTCTGGGCCACCCAGGTGGCCTCTCCTCCGGGCAATCTTTCCTGTCCAGCCTCTGCTTCCCTTTATCACAGTCCTCCTGTCCATTAGGACATTTTCAGCCACAGGAAAAAGAAATGGAGTGCCTTAAGCAATAGTGGAGATTGATTGTTTCTCATCCCAGGTTCAGGAGTGGGAGGGCTCCCGGGTATCCACCTGGCGGGCTTCATGGCTCCATCCCGGCCTCCTCTGGATTGATTGTTCTGGTCTTTGCGGCTGTCTCTGTCTCTGACTGGTGACGCTCCTTCTCTGAAATAACTGGAAACCAGTTAGCGCCAAGTTACGTGTAATCAAGATAGGTGATAAAATTCAGGTCAAGGCCAAGGGAGGACCATGCAGTTGAGAGACAGGATTTATGGTTTTGCCAATGAACGTGGTGTAAAAGCAGGTTTATTTACTTAGGGGTCTTGGGGCCACACTAGGGGGAACCCCTGGCTTCCTCCTGGATCTGTGCTCAGGGGTGACTCCTGGCCAGGCCCAGGAGACCATATGGGATGGAACAGATTGAACCTGCCGTAACTGCACACAAGACAAGTTCCCTTACCTGCTGTACCATCTCCCTGGCCCCTCAAAAGCAAGTTTAGAAAAGACTTTTCAAATATCTTGAAATATGTCCAAACTCCAAGACACATGAAGTGTGAACACGGAGTTACTGTATCCAGCGCTGGGCCCGTGTGCTTGTGGAAGTTTTCATCTGCTTGTTTAGAAATAAAAGAACAAACGTCAGAAGATTCCTAGTTACCTGGCCGAGAAAGCAAAACGAGGGTCTGGCCTTGCTTCCCTTCCATCTGGACGAATTCCTGAAGGTTCTGAGACCTGGGGCCGATGAATTCAAAATTAGGAGAGAAGGGGTCAGAGAAGACCCGCGTGCTGAGTCTCAGGGGCCCAACCAAGGTGGGGGTCACGTGAGTGGTGGCTCAAGTGGAGAGAAACAGCTTAGAGTCAAGAGAATCCAAATTGGGGTTGGAGCGATAGTCCAGTGGGGAGGGCGTTTGCCTTGCACGCGGCTGACCCCGGTTCGATCCCCGGCATCCGATAGGGCCCCTCTAGCACTGCCAGGAGTGATTCCTGAGTGCAGAGCCAGGAGTAACCCCTGAGCATCGCTGAGTGTGACCCAAAAAGCAAAAACAAACAAAAAAAACCCAAGAGAAGCCAAATTTTAGAGATCAACTCCCCTCTGGAGTGGCAGCTGGGCTTCCAGGAGCTATTGCCTCTAAGTTCTTCTCTGCCGTCCTCCGTGTCCCCTGGGAGCCAGGAGCCACCCCACAAGCTGTGCTCCCTTCTCTTCCATGCAGATCTTAAGTAACCAAGAGGAGTGGTTCAAGGCAGAGCTCGGCAGCCAAGAAGGATACGTGCCCAAGAATTTTATAGACATCCAGATTCCCGAGTAAGTATTTCCAGCCTGCTGCGATCTCCTACCCACACACGCTTCCCCTTGCTTTTTTCAGTCCTCGCTAAATTTATCTGTGCAGATAAATATCCAAGCAGACCCAAGGCGCTGTGGAAGATGGTTGCCTCTCGCGCGCGCGGGAACCTCCCGCTGGAGGCCAGGGTGGGAGGGAGATTGGCATTTCCCGGTGTTGCCTTTGGAGTCTGACGTCATGAGCCTATATCACCTATTTTAAGTTTACTGACTCAACATCATCTGTCACTATAATCACGGCGTTTCCAATCGGGGCACGGTTGGCCACCCCAGAAATCTCAGCGCTGCTACCTCCGAAGGTCCTTCTCTGCTGCTCCCACCCTCCCCTCCTTCCTCACCGAGCACCCCAATTCCCTCTCCACCCTGGGTCCGGGTGGCAGCTCCGGGTGGACCGGTGCTGTCTACACAGCCACCTCTGGGGCTGGCCCCCAGATGATCCCTACTGTTGGAAAGGTGAGACTTTGGGGAAATACTGTTTCCGGGGAGACCCTGAGTTCTGCTGTCCGGTGTATAAGGGGCAGGCAGTGGCCAGGCGGTAGCCTGCCCCCAGCTCTGCTCACCTGGGAGAGGCCAGAGGCCATGACAGGAACATGGGGTGGGTGGAAATTCCCTTCTTCGGGAGGAAACGAAAGCTTGAGATGAAGTCACGTCTCTCCAGAATTGACCGCCAGGGTTAGGTGGCAATCTGGCCTCTTGACCTCCTCTCACTGGTGCGGGCTGCATCCAGAAGAGGATGGTGGCTGACCTCACAGGGTGCTCCACGCCCCTGGTCACCTGCTGGGTGACACATCAGCAACCCCTTTCCCCATACACACACACACACACCTGGACTCCTGTCAGTGCCCGTCCCTCACTCGCACCTGACCCGACTGCCAGGTTCTGGGGGATATGAGAGAGGCCCATCCCCGCCAACCTTCCCTGCTGCAGCCTGGGGGGCGGGGGGCTGGTGCTTCTGGATTTCCCACCCCCCACTTCCCCCAGCAGAAAGGCACATCTCCATCCCTCCCAGCAAACCAACCCTGCTGAACTGTCCTGAGCCGGCTTCCTCCCTCCCCCGCCCTCTCCGCCTCCTCCCTTTCGACTCCTCCCCCACTCCGGGGAACCCCCAGAACTGCAGGGGCTGCTTCTTAGCCCTCAGCTCAGTGTGGTTCGATGTGGGGAAATCTTCCCCTCCCCCGGACCCCTGTTCTTCACTTGGCTTCCAAAACATCCTTCCTCCTGCTCCTCCTCCCTCACTTCCCACCCCCACTTCTGCTCCATCACCCCAGGGCGGGTTCCTCCTCATCACCCCGTCTCCGTTAGATTTAGCACATCCTCCTGCTCAGAAGACCCCCCCTCAGCTCCATATTTGATTTTTGGTGGGGTGGGATCACACCCAGCTATGCTCAGGAGTTCCTCCTGGCTCTGCACTCAGAAATTACTCCTGGCGGTGCTTGGGAGACCCCATGGGATGCCGGGGATCAAACCCAGGTTGTCCACATGCTAGGGAAATGCCTTCCTCGCTGTCCTATAACTCCGGCCCCCCAGCTCCGTATTTGAAACTACCCACCCCCCCACACACACCCACACACTCCTCGTCCCTCCCCCTGAGTCTCCTTTTCTTCCCAGACCTGTTTGGTTGTGGTATCTCCTGCCCTCCCTTCTCCCACGAGAACCCAAGTTCTGTGACAGCCGAGGTGCTTGTCTCTCCTGCCTGTGTGTGTGTGTGTGTGTGTGTGTGTGTGTGTGTGTTGGGGGGCACGTGCTGAGCTGGATAGGACTGTGCACACTCTCCTCCTAGACCCCAGGGCCCTGTACTGTGTCCGTGTGACAGACACTACTGAGTGGATGATGACGAGCTCCAGGAGGAAGTGGCGTGTGGAACCCCGGGATCCTTCTCCCCTTCCCGAACATCCTCTCAGATGACCCTGGAGCCATGGTCCCTCCATGTCTGGGGTGGTGGAAGCACCTGATGGGAGGGGGCCACCGGCTCACGAATGCCCGAGATGCTCTGCTTCCAGCCCGCCAGCAGCCCCGAGTCTGCACAGACACGCCCCACCTGGAGAGGGGTCTGGCCTCTGGGCCACCGCCTGCCCCTCACACACCGGGCAGCAGAGCTCGGGGTCTCCCCGGAAACAGTAGTTTCCCCAAAGTCCCACCTTTCCAACAGTAGGGATCATTTGGGGACCAGACCACCTGGGAGCTGGCTGTGTAGATGGCAAACACAGGTGGTTGTGAGTCTGGCTCCCTGTGACGGCAGTGTTCATGGGGGGGGCCTGGCAGTCCTGCCCAGCTCAGCACGCGCCCCCCCAACACACACACATGTGTGTGCACGCGCATGCACACACACACACACACACACGTCCCAGAAGCACTAGCTCCTAAACAGGGGACAACTGGTCGACCCTATGACTTGGCCAGGTCGAAGCTGCACCCGAAGCCTCCCGGATCCCAGCAGGTCACAAACCCCAGGCCCCCATCTGTCCCCCTCCCTGCTCTGCCTCCCTCCCCAACATGGTCACTCACACACAGCCTCCTTGGGTGCAGCAGCTCATTGCCTTGATCCAGGCCTTCGAGCTGCAAGGCCTCTGGCAGGGAGGGCAGAGGACGGGGAAGGGAAAGTCTGAGCTTTGGTCTCGGGGGTGGCTCTGCCTGCTCTGGCTACCTGCTTCCCAGCACCACACACACACACACACACACACACACACACACACACACACGCATCCTCTGCCACACTCTCCACCGTCCTTGTCACCACCACCCAGAACCTCACACGCGTTCTCTGGTTTCCTCCCTGCTGTAGGTGGTTTCATGAAGGTCTCTCGCGACATCAGGCCGAGAACTTACTCATGGGCAAGGAGGTTGGCTTCTTCATCATCCGGGCCAGCCAGAGCTCCCCCGGGGACTTCTCCATCTCCGTCAGGTACCGCCTCCTCACCCATCCCCCACCCTGCCTGGGGCTGCTGGGGCCTCAGCTGCCTCGAGTGTGACCTTGGTAAGGTGGTCAGGGGCCACCCACCACCCGCTTCCTGTGGCACAGGCCAGTGCTGTGGGGCCTGTGGAGTTTAGGCCGCAGTTGTGTGTCCACGTCTCTGCCTCCCCTTCCTGGCCGGGCGCTTATGGAAGGACAGGAGCTACCCAATGCAGTGTGGGGCCTTTGCAAGTATCTCACACCCCCAATGCTCAGAGAGTGTTTGTGTGGGTGGGGACACTCCTGGTTATCCTCATTCCCCAGGGATCTGGGATGTTTTCATCTTTTTTTTTTTTTAACTTTTGGAATTTTTTTTTTTTTAATCACTTGGGCTGCATCAGTAGCATAGCAGGTTGGGGTATTTGCCTTGCATGCGGCCAACCCGGGTTTGATTCCTCTCGGAGAGCCCGGCAAGCTACCGAGAGTATCCCCCCCCCCCCCCCCCACGGCAGAGCCTGGCAAGCTTCCCGTGGTGCATTCGATATGCCAAAAACAGTAACAACAAGTCTCACAATGGAGTCGTTACTGGTGCCCACTCGAGCAAATTGATGAACAATGGGAGGACAGTGCTACAGTGTATTGAATCACTGTGAGATAGAGCATTACAGAATTGTTTTATGATTATGTTTCAGTCATACAATGTTCCAACACCCATTCCCTTCACCAGTGTGATTTCCCAGCACCAGTGTCCCCAGTTTCCCTCCCTCTCCTTCAAGCCACCCCTGCACTGGACTGTTCATCTTAACCTGCAGGGCTGGAGATATGGGGGGGGGGGGGGGGTCAGGCACTTGCCCTGCATACGCTGACCCGAGTTCTGTCCTGCCATCACAGTGCCAGAAAAAGCCTTGAACACCTCCAGGCATCACAACTTCCTCTCTGCCCCCGAAAAAAATATATTATCCTTTTTTTTTTTCTTTTAAGTGTTGTGGCCTTACCTGGGTTACTGCTCAGGGTTTGGCCCTGGTGGTACTCAAGTCTCCGTGGGGATCAAATCCTGGCCTCAAGCTTGCAGAGCAGGCAGCCCGGGGACCTCTCTCCGGCCCATCTCCTTCATTTTATTTTATTTATTGAATCACCGAGAGATACCGTCACAAAACTTTCCTGTTTGAGTTTCAGTCATACAATGATCAAACACCCATCCCTCCACCAGTGTACATGTTCCAACACCAAGGTCCCCAGTATCCTCCCTCCACGCATTCCATCCTTCCCCCTGCCTCCATGGCAGACATTTCCCTCTCTCTCTCTCTCTCTCTCTCTCTCTCTCCCCCCCCCCCTTTGGGGTGTTAGGGTTTGTTCAGATTTTCCCACCACCATTCAAGCCTACCTGCCAGGGACAGACGCTAGACAATTTATTTTCTCTTGCTTATTTATAAATATCATGAGAGGTTGCTTCTGGAATTCTAAAATTGTAAATGGTTGGGGTCCGGAGACATTGCTGTAGGGAGCTAATCCATTTCGAGATTCATCTGGGAGTGTCTTGATCAGGGTCGTTGATGCACTGAGATGGTGCCCGGAGGCAGATTGTAGGCATGACAGCGGGACCCCACGCCGGGGAGATGAGGAGAGACGGCCTGACTCCCCTGCTGCGCTGTGAGGCCTGGCGTCTTAGTCCTAGAACATGCGTACCTGGGTTTTGCTTCTGTAAGACCGTGACCACCGAGATTTCATCTGAAGCAGGCAGAGAGAGCACACCTGCTCCATCTGAGATGCCCTGGTGGAATTTGCTGGGTCCGGGGTCCGGAGAGATCTGTGCATTTTTATTTATTTATTTATTTTGCTTTTTTTGGGGGGGTCACACCCAGAAATGCTCAGGGGTTACTCCTAGTCCGTGCTCAGGAATTACTCCTGGCGGTGCTCGGGGGACCATATGGGATGCTGGGAATCGAACCCGGGTCGGGTCGGCCGCGTGCAAGGCAAACACCCTGCCTGCTGTGCTATCTCTCCAGCCCCAATATTTATTTATTTTTATTAGCTTTTTTTCACTACCAATTAAGTCTGAAGGTGGGCTAGAGAAAAGTCAAGCTCTCCAGGGGTTGCTTCGAGAAGCGGCGGGTGATTGTGGTCGGCCACGCAGAGAGAATTGGACGTGGAAGCCTCGGCCCGGGAGGAGGGGCTGTCACAGCCAGACGCCCCTACCCCAGGCACAGCCCCGCAGCCCCCAGAGGAAGTGGCTTGGTCCCGGCTTAGGAGGTCGAGTCTGAGCATACGGCACCTGGCCAGGGTCTTAGAGCCCTCAAGAGCAAGTATGAGAGCAGAGGAGAAGGTACAGCTGCCGGCCCGCACACCGTCCCCGGCAGGGAGGGGAAGGAAAGGCCAGCCTCGGGTCTGCAGAGGCCAAGAGGGCCCTCAGTGCGTAAACCCACTCTCTGGCCAGAATCAAAGGCCGCTTTGCTGTTTTGGAAGAAGGAATCTCTCGAGGACTAAAAAGGATCTGCGAATAACAGGCAGCCGGCATGCCAGTAGTGCTGAGTTGCTGAGTTGTGAGATCCTTTGGGATCTCACAAAACTCTCAGCTCTGTTACTGAAACAGCCCTTCTAACAGTGCTGGGCCACTGGTCAGATTTTTTTTTTTTTTTTTGCTTTTGGGACCACACCCAGCGATGCTCAGAGGTTGCTCCTGATTCTACACTCAGAAATTACTCCTGGAGGTACTCAGGGGGGCCATATGGGATGCTGGGGATCGAACCCTGGTCAGCTGTGGGCAAGGCAAACGTCCTCCCCTCTGTGCTATCACTCCGATCCCACTGATCAATTTTTATATCCTTTTTTGTTGATTGGTTGGTTGGTTGGTTTTGGTTTTTCGGGCCACGCCCGGCTACGCTCAGGGCTTACTCCCAGCTTAGGGATCGCACCTGGGGGAGCTCAGGGGACCATAGGTGGTGCTGGGGATCAAACCTGGGTCGGCAGCATGCAAGGCAAGCGCCCGCCCACTGTACTATCTCATTGGCTGATTCTAGTTTCAGCCATTGTTGATGTACCTCCCATTCTAAACTCATTCGGTCTTTATGAATTCTGCCTTAGTAAGTCCTACAAGTCAAACCTCTTTCTTCAGGACTTCATCCCCGGCTGTACTGCATTCATGGCTCATTTGGTGTGCTTGCCGTTGCCTCTGGCTTTCTTCAGCCCGAGCTTAGGGTTTATATTTCCTTCATTGGCGTGAGTTCTCCAAAAGGCTCAATTCAGCACTCACCAAGCCCGTCTCCCGCAGTTGGGGCCTCGCGGCCTGTACTCTGCTGTGGAATTGTTGTCAAGTCCTCTGCAGGAACGGAGTATCACATTTTCCAAAAGCGGAATCATTCTTATGAGTTTTGTTACACATCTGCTTTCTGTCCTTAACGGAAGAGCTAATTGCAGTTTTATCACCTGGCGTTTATGAGGCGGCTGAAAGCCTGGGCTTGAGCTGGAAGCCAAGTCCTCACTTCCTGGGCCCCCACCACCACCCGGACAGAGCCCCCCAGGCCCCCTGCAGCAGACAGCCTCCCTCAGCCCAGTGAGAGGTTGGCGGCTCTCTGACTAAAGCGGCAGATGAATGATCATATCACCGGGACGCGTCTGCCCTCTCCCGTGTTGAGTCCTGGGTTAACTGCGGCTGGATTGGGTCACATGGTGTAAAGAAAACGTCTGGGAGGGAACAGCCGGAGGGGAAGACCTGGCAGTGATTGCCAAGGGCCAGCAAGCAGTGGTCACTCCATGGCTGCATCCTCCCTTGGATGCAGGGGGGGTCAGGCGCCCCTGCCCGCCTCTAAACAGATGAGCTCAAGGTGTGCAACACCGAGAAACACCTCCCCAGGCCTCCCCAGCAGAGGAACAAAGAGACAGGGGCCTCAGACCGATGGCCAAATGGCCCGTCTAATGCAGAACTGCATCCTCATAGCACACCTGAGGGGGCTTGAGGTACGGGCCTACACGGAGGTGTGACTGAGCATTCACAGAGAAAAAGCGTTTCAGCGGAGGCAATTCTCTTGGGGGATTAACTCAAAGAGCGGCTCTGTCTTCCAGGGACATCTATATTGCTTTTCTCTTTCCCTTTAGTTGTACATATTACACAGTTACATTTGCTTCTCATTAATACTTGCAGTTATTTGGGTAAACACACTAAGAGATATAGATTCCAAAACTTAGCTCTCTGGGCTCTGAGGCACGGCTTTTACCGTAAATCCCAGAGTAAGTCCTCAGGCCAGTCCAGGTTGTCCTTCCCCATGGGGGGGGGTCCTGTCTCTTAAGTCATAACGTCTTGCCTCAAGATCATGAATTTATGCTCTCTAGACTGTCTCATTTTGATGCCAGGATAGCTTTGCCACTTGTCCCTGGTTCATCCCAGTCCCACGGCGGGACCTCCCTTTTGGGGTGTTAGGAACGACAGCAACTGAAGCCTGATTCAAGTAATTATGATGGGTGCCCAGGAGTAGGCATATTTCAGAGTCAGTCAACTCCCAAATATTAGGAGCACAGCATTAATGATCCTTCTGTGTTTAAGCAAAGAACATTGCTCTATAGTAAAATATGAAAAGGCTATCGGGGAATTGTAGCACTGTCCTCCCATTGTTCATCGATTTGCTCGAGCGGGCCCAGTAACGTCTCCATTGTGAGACTTGTTGTTACTGTTTTTGGCATATCAAATACGCCACGGGGAGCTTGCCAGGCTCTGCCGTGCAGACGGGATACTCTCAGTAGCTTGCCGGGCTCTCCAAGAGGGGCGGAGGAATCGAACTCGGGTCGGCCGCATGCAGGCAGACGCCCTGCCTGCTGTGCTATCGCTCCAGCCCCACTACAAGTACAAAGTCCAAAATGTTTTTCACCAGCAGTTTAGATTTATAAGTAACCAAGACTGACCTGGGGAATGTAGCAATGGGAGATAAAGCACAAAGGAAAGGTTAAAGGTAAACTCGGAAAAAAAAATGAAGGTAAACTCGGGGGATTAGGGATGCTCACAAGAGCACAATAGGCTTTCTCTGGGCAATTCACTGATGAAGCCTAAAACTGTCACTGTCACTGTCTTCCCGTTGTTCATCAATTTGCTCGAGCGAGCCCAGTAACGTCTCCATTGGAGACTTTGTTGTTACTGTGTCTGGCATATCGAATACTCTCGGTAGCTTGCCGGGCTCTCCAAGAGGGGCGGAGGAATCGAACTCGGGTCGGCCATGTTGGCTGCGTGCAAGGCAAACGCCCTACCACTGTGCTATCGTTCCAGCCCTGAAGCCTAAAACACTGAGTGTTAATATCCGGCATACCCTTAATCCTTGGTGCTCTCGCCCCTGCCCAAGACTCAGGGTGTTTCAGACCTCAGATGGATCAGGCAACTGTGATATTCATCCCAGTTCATTATAAGCGTGTGTCTCTTTGACAAGCACTTGACATCCCAGAGTCATGTTGGAACAGTGACCCAAGGCCCAACCTTCCCCTTCAGGGTGAATCAACTAAAATCCACTTTCTCCAGTGTTGGTACAAAAACATCCCAGGCCTCTAAGTCCAGGCGGGCATCGGAAGGGGCCAATCTGAAGGGATCTCAGCTGCCCTGAGTGTCTACACTGCTGGCCCAAGAGATTCGGGGTTCCGGCCCCAGCTTGGCCGCACCCCTCCCTGGGCGTCAGAGCCAAGCCCCTGGACCTCTCCGAGTCTGTGTCCTCCTTTGAACCATGGACACATCCAGCCAAGCGACCCTGAGCGCCTCTCTCAGAAAACTCTCGAATATTCCATGCAATACCCTTTCCCGAGAGACAGAATACTCTTAGGCCGAGCCTAATCCAACATGACCACCACTGTAAACCTGGCTGCCTTAATAGTAAGCATCACTGTATCACTGTCATCCCGTTGTTCATCGATTTACTCGAGTGGGCTCCAGTAACGTCTCCATTCATCCCAGCCCTGAGATTTTAGCAGCCTCTCCTTACTCGTCTTTCCCAACGCTGCTGTATTGGAGGCTCTTTCGGGGTCAGGGGAATGAGACCCTTTATCGTTACTGTTTGGGGCATACAAATAGTGAGCATGTAAATTGGAAATTAAAACACAAGGCAGGATGCAGAGGCGTCGGCAGCGCAGAGAGCAGAGCGGGGTGGCCGGGCCGGGGGTGTGGGTCTGGGCTGAGCTGCCTCCGCTGAGCACTGTGGGGAGCTGAGAAGCGGCAGGAGCAGAGCAGGAGTCATCTTGGTGCCAGCCAAGGCTCAACCCAGTCAGCCTCGGGGCTGCCCGGCCTCAAATGAGCCTTGTAGGAAAACCTCGAACCCGGTCTTAAAAGCGCTGGTCACTCGTGAGAGTTTCTGCTCCAGTGTCCGAAGACAACTTAGCACAGTCTTCGTGTCCAAGCCCTCTGTGGGGGTGGGGAGGGTCTGGGCCCGCGGGTGCCCTCCCCCGAGTCTCCCCACCTGCCTATCCACGGGCCTGGCTGCTTGACCGGCCAGAGACACGTGGCCATTTTGCCACCCACACAGAGCTGGCATCTCAGCGCCATCGGCCCTGGTACTGGGGTCCCCGTGTCCCCTGAAGTTTGGCTATCTTTGGTGTCTAGGCACGAGGACGATGTCCAGCACTTCAAAGTCATGAGGGACAGCAAGGGCCACTACTTCCTGTGGACCGAGAAGTTCCCGTCCCTCAACAAGCTGGTGGACTATTACCGGACGGCCTCCATCTCCAGACAGAAGCAGATCTTCCTGCGGGACAGAGCCCAGGACGACCAGGTACGCACCAGGGGCTCAGGTCCCCCCCCCATCTAGAGGCCGGGGGCCCCAATTCCCCACCTCCCCCACACCAGGAGGGCCAGGAGAAGTCCTGAAAAGCAGCATTGTCCCGGACTCACATCTGGGTGTCAATCCTAGCACAGTGCTCCCTTGCCGCCAGCCTCTGGAAGGTTCTAGCCTCCGTTCCCTCTGCCTGAACCCGTGGAGGCAGAGACGAGTGCTCGTCCTACTCACATGTGAACCCACTCGCTGCCCTCCTGTGGAGCTGTCCACTTCCTTAGCCTTAGCAGTGTTTCACCCAGATCAGGATTTAGCAGTCAGGGTGAGGAGTGACCCCCCGCAACCCTGGATACTTAGAACGTGGGATCTGGAAGTCCCGCCCTTTGAGAGCCTGGTATCTAGAGTGGGTTCTGGTTGTTTGATTGATTTTTTATGTGCGGGCCACACCCCACAGTGCTCGGGAGTCTCCCAGCTCTGCCCACGCCTCCAGGGACAAACGTGGACCCTCCGGAAGCAAACGTTTCGTGCCCTGCCGAACCCTCGCTAGAGTCTTAACAGAAATGTGCCAAGTGGACCAGGCCTTAAATCCCAGTCGCTTCACTGTCTTCCCGAGCCAAGCTGAAACTTTCTGGGGATCAGTCTTCTCATCCACAGAACTGAAGGCCAGGGGCCCAGAGCAGTAGTACAGCGGGGAGGGCATTTGCCTTGAACGCGGCTGACTCCGGTTCAATCCTCAGCCTCCCATATGGTCCACCAAGCATCACCACCAGTAATTCCCGAGTGCGGAGCCCGAAGGAAGGAAGGAAGGACAGAAGGAAGGAAGGAAGGAAGGAAGGAAGGAAGGAAGGAAGGAAGGAGAGGAAGGAAGGAAGGAGAGGAAGGAAGGAAGGAAGGAAGGAAGGAAGGAAGGAGAGGAGGGAAGGAAGGAAGGAAGGAAGGAGAGGAAGGGAGGAAGGGACGGAGGAAGGGAGGGAGGAAGGGAAGGAAGGCAGGAAGGAAGGAGAGGAAGGAAGGAAGGGACGGAGGAAGGGAGGGAGGAAGGGAAGGAAGGCAGGAAGGAAGGAGAGGAAGGAAGGAAGGAAGGAAGGAAGGAAGGAGAGGAAGGAAGGAAGGAAGGAGAGGAAGGAAGGAAGGAAGGAAGGAAGGGAGGGAGGGAGGGAGGAGGAAAAGGATGGAAGGGAGGAGGAAGGAAGGGAGGGAGGGAGGAAGGAAGGAAGGAAAGGAGGGAGGGAGGGAGGGAGGAAGGGAGAAAGGGAGGAAAAGGAAAAAAGAAAGGGAGGGAGGGAAGTGGAGGGAGGGAGGAAGGAGGGAGGGAGGGAGGGAAGGAAGGAAGAAAGGAAGGAAGGAAGGAAGGAAGGAAGGAAGGAAGGAAGGAAACACAAGGAAGGAAGGAAGGAAGGAAGGAAGGAAGGAAGGAAGGAAGGAAGGCAGGCGGGCAGGCCAGACTGTACCCTCAGTCTGATACTCAGTGAGATTCGGTGACTGTGGTTCTTGTCTCCGGGCCTGGGCTAGCTGAGGTGCTAAGGAAATGTTAGCCAGCCTTCCCGTGAGACAGTCCGCGTGTGCACACACAGGATTAATCATGGCTTTCAAAATAAATCATTTGGTTGTGAGAGGTGGGTCTCCCGGGCCAGAGCAGGGGCCGGGAGAGTGGAAATCGGGAGGCTGGATCATTTGGACTGGCACTGAGCCGTCCGAGGCAGCAGCGTGGGCTTCCGGAGGTGAGGGCCCCTCCCCCGCCCTCCCCGTTAGTTGGCTTTTATAGCAGAAATTAACCATCCACGGAGGAAAGGGGGTCCCCCTCCGCCCAATGCACACAAACGTTCTGGAAGGAAAACAAAGGTTGCCGGAGACCTCGTGAGTTGTTTCACGCCGGAAGCGGACAGAGGCATTCATTCGCCAGGATATGCGTGTGGAGCAGAAACAAAACGCACCGCGCGGGATTGAATGATTCGGATTTGGAAAAGTGCTTCCTGGCACGGGCCAAGCCCAGGGCCCTGTGTAATTGTTCAATGGAAAGAACAAGCAAGTGGCTGGTCCAGAGGTGGCGGCCGTGGAGGAAGGGGGCTCGGCCCTGCCCAGCGCCCCCGTGGCAGGCCTAGTTCCCACAGCGCTGCGGGACGCCTGCGGGGTTGTCGGCCTCTGGGTGGGGCTCAGAATCCAGCCGTCAGAGCAGGGCTTCTCTGCGGGACTGCAGGGGCCGCTGTGGGGATGTGCGGGTCTGAGCCGGGACCGACGCCCGCCCGTGGTTTGGGGGCTGCTGGGGCAGAGTCTGGGAGGGGCTGGCAGGGGCCGCAGAGGCTGCAGGCGCATGTCCCGTTCTCCCCAGGGCCCACGGGGCAGCAGCCTGGACCGGCGTGCGCAGGGAGGCCCCCATCTCAGCGGTGCCGTGGGGGAGGAGGCCCGGCCGTCCATGCACAGGAAGCTGTCAGACCAGCCTGCGCCCGCTGCCCAGTGCCTCCCAGGACCGCCGCCCCCACACCAGCGCTACCTCCAGCACCCCCATTTCCACCAGGTACCTGTAAAGGAGGACGGGGGCCCAGAGAGGGAGAGGTGGACCGGAGGGCCTGGTCTCACACACACACACATGTACACACTCACACACATACACACACACACATATACATACATGCACACATACAGACATGCATGCACACACTCATATACATACATATACTGACACACATACACACATATACACACACACTCACACATACACACATGCACACTCACACGTATATATATACATACACCCAGACACACATACACGGACACACATTCATATACACACATATACTCACACACATGCACATTCACACACACACATACACACACTCACACATACACACACATACACGCACTCACACATATACATACATGCACATTCACACACACTTACATGTATACATACACAAATTCATATACATACATATACACACATACACACATGCACACACATACATACACACATGCACATTCACACTCATACACATACATACACACATATACATACATATACATACACAAACACATGCAGACTCACACACCTACACACACGCACACTTACATACATATACACACATACATACACTCCCACACATAGACATACACACTCACATACATACACACACACATACATACACACACTCACACACATACATATACACATTCACATACACACACACTCCCCCATGACTCAGTCCCCACTGAGTGAGTGAAAACTCCCTGCACAGTGGGACGAAGCTTGGGGGTGTTGGGCAGAGCGATAGCACAGTGGGGAGGGTGTTTGCCCTGCACATGGCTGGCCCGGGTACGATCCCCGGCATCCCAGAGGGTCCCCTGAGCACCACCAGGAGCGATTCCTGAGTGCAGAGCCAGGAGGAACCCCTGAGCATCGCCGGGTGGGACCCAAAAAGCCAATAAACTGAAACAAAAACCCACTGGGGTTCATGATGGTGGGAACTGAACTGAGAAAGGGGAACCCCCTCGCCCAACCCCCTGGAGAGCTCCCCAAGAAGATCCTGGTACCCCCCCAAGGCGCCCCTGAAATACGGAAACTGCTCTTGACTGAGAAGAGGTCCTTGTGACTGAAATGGACACAGGAAAACACGCACACACACACACACACACACACACACACACACACATGCACGCACACAGGGTGAACAATCCACTTTATTTTTCCTGTCAGGAACCTCCAAATCTCGCCGTGCCCTTTAACCCTTCTGGCTGTCAGAATCCGCAAGAAAAATAGATTAGTACACGCAGTGGGGCCCGCGCTTGCTTATTTATTTATTTATCCCCTGCCTCGTTCCAGATGGGATTTAGGCGGCTTACGGGGATGGACAAAGCAGCCGGATAACATCGGCCGGCCAGATTCCTTCGGAGCCCGCAGCTCGCTGTGAGCCGGCTGGCGCCCGCCTCCCCCACTCCCAGTCAGACACGGCCCAGCATCACTGCTCCACCTCCGGGCACCTGCCGTGCTGTCTCTCCCGCCTCTGCGGCCTTGCCTTGTACCTTCTGCCTTTCCCTCGCCTTTCCTAACCTGCCTTCTTTACTCTCGAGCTTAAGCACTGCCTCCTCTGCGCAGCCTTCCCTGATTGCCCGATTTAGATATGCTTCTTCCCCCGTGGGTCTGCCCACACCTCCCCACCCCACACACACACAGACATGGAGGCTGCTAACTTCTCTGTCCAGCTGCCTCTGCCCAGGGCCCCCTGTCCTACTTGCCACATGGCAGCCCCCGTTTGGCCCAGGTAAACGTTCCTGGGCCAAATAAGTGAAATCTGCGTCCTTCCCTGCCTTTCAGCAAAAGGTTCCTTGTCAGCCGCTGCCCCCAGCCCCCTCTGCTGCCCGGAGCTTATTATGCCCCCCACCCGGACCCCCTGGCCATGTCCAGGGCACACACTGAAGCAAAGGGGAGCCTGTAGGAGACTTTGGCTGTGTCCCGACGGTTCCCATTGTCCTTCTAGGAACGCCGCGGAGGCAGCCTGGACATCAACGACGGCCACGTGGGCCCAGGCACGCCCAGCGAGATGAACACCGCGCTCATGCACCGCCGGCACACGGACCCCGAGCAGCTGCAGATGATCGGGGTACGGCCGCCGGGGAGGGAGGAGGCCCGTGCCTGAAAGGGGCCGCGCACCAAGTGAGGCGCTGGGCTGGGGGAGGTCAGGGGCCAGGGGTCAAGCCTGGCCAGGACACTTTCCCCAGAGCCACCTCTAGCAGAGAGAGTCAGAAACAGACAGATACACACACACACACACACACACACACACACACACACACAACGCCAGCTCTAGCAGAGAGTCAGAGATAGACACACACACACACACACATACTAACACACACACATATTCACACACAGAATGCCAGCTCTAGCAGAGAGTCAAGACAGACAGACAGACACACACACACACACACACAGAACGCCAACTCTAGCAGAGAGTCAGAGACAGACAAACACACACACATATTAACACACACATATTCACACACACACAGAATGCCAGCTCTAGCAGAGTCAGAGACAGACAGAAGATAGAGACACACACACACACACACACACACACACACAGAATGCCAGCTCTAGCAGAGAGAGTCAGAGACAGACAGACACACACACACATACTAACACACACACATATTCACACACACACAGAACACCAGCTCTAGGAGAGTCAGAGACAGACAGACACACACACACATACACACACACACACATACACAGAACTATAGCTCTAGCAGAGAGAGTCAGAGACAGACACACACACATACACACACACATACACACACACACATACACAGAACTATAGCTCTAGCAGAGAGAGTCAGAGACAGACAGACAGACAGACACACACACACACAGCTTTTTCGGCAGGCTCCATGCTGACCCGGAGTGTGTGTGTGTGTGTGTGTGTGTCTGTCTGTCTGTCTGTCTGTCTGTCTGTCTGTCTGTCTCTGACTCTTTTTCTCTCTCTGCTAGAGCTGGCATTCTGTGTGTGTGTATGTGTGGTTGTGGGTGTGAGTATGTGTGGGTGGGGGTGTGGTGGGTGGGTGGGGGACCCAGGCTGGCATTTCAAGCTCAGAGCCCCCTGCTGAGGTCGGGAGAGGGGTGTGTGGGGGCCAAAGCCCTAGCCAGCGGGAGCGGCCCCTGGGCTCCGCAGGCAGGCACTGTCCTGGGGAGGGGCCCCGGCCAGGCCCCGTCTCAGTGGCTCCATGTCCCCTGCAGCGCGTGCGGTGGGCCCGGGCACTCTACGACTTCGAGGCGCTGGAAAGCGACGAGCTAAGCCTGCGCTGTGGGGAGGTGGTCGAGGTCCTGGACAGCTCGAACCCGTCCTGGTGGACCGGCCGCCTGCACAGCAAGCTGGGCCTCTTCCCTGCCAACTATGTGGCCCCTCTGAGCCGGTGAAGACCCCGGGGGGCGCCCAGGCGTGGGTGTGATGCCCCAGGGCACACCACGGCCCGAGGAAGACAGCCCGAGGCCACCGACACACACACACGGACCCACCCAAGGACACCGGCTACCCTGAGTCGTCATCGTCATCGTGGTGGTCGGGACAGTAATTTATTGGCGATTTAGATGGGTGATTAGTTAGTAGGGAAAGAACTCAGGAAGAGAATCACAGTCACGGGAGGAGGGCTGTGGGGGAGGGGCGGGCCGGGGGCTGGAAAAGAAACGGAAATCCTTCCTGTCTTGACTCAGGGACCTGCTTCCTCCTCGCAGGCAGCCAGGCAACCGGGACCCAAGGGGCAGGGGCGGGTCTGGGGGTCCTGCAGGCCTGCACCCCTCCCCCCCCGTCATCCTCCCCCCACCCCATCCTGCTGACCCCCACTGGCTTGAGAACAAAAGCTCGACCCTGAAATTCTGAGCTGGGGCCAGGAGGAGGGTGAAGGAGGGTGTGGAATTGCAGGGGTTCAAGACCCCAGACCTTGCCGGATGCCTGCACAGGGCTCCTCCCTACCCTCTGAGCCCCCGTCCTGCCCCAAACCATCATTTCTCATCTACTCCTTGTCGCTGAATCTGAGTTGAGACCGGGGCTCTGAGTTCTCTGTGGGGGGCTTTCTCAGGGGAACTGTGTCTCCCAGGAAAGCAGCACTCTGTGTGCCCCATGTAGTTGCAGGAGCTACAGGCAGGGGGCGCCCTCCACCTGGGCGTCTCTGGGACTCAGTTTCCTGAGGTTTGGAGCACTGACGAGTGAGGGCTTGAACAAGGACGCAAACGGGCGTTGGGAACAACTTCCTGCTCAATCGCACTGTTGGACACGGCCACTGCCTGCTCCCACGACTGCCCCTGGGGCGAGGACCCCCACGACCACCCTCATCCTCACCTCCCCTGCCCCCTGTGCTCACCCCGGGCAGAGCACTGGCCAGGGAGGCTCAGAGGAGCCAGGGAGCTAGCAGGAGTGTGTGGTGTGCATCATGTATGTTCTGTGCATCCACATGGTTGCGTGCATACATGTGCCCGGAGACCCGGAGGACGGCCGCAGTGAGAAGCCCGAGGAAGGCGTCTCTGTTCTTTGTTCTCTTCCTCCCTGGGGACGGAAGGGGCCACCTTGGCTGCAGGCGATGGAAGAAGAAAGAGTTTCTGACTCAGAAGCAACCGTCTGCACCGTGCGCCGAGTCCCTTTGACTCTGAGTTCCACACCTCTCTGCCCCCCCATGCCGCCTTTGGAGTCAGAAAGGGGAAAGGAAGAGCCGCTGTGCTGGGTCCGTGGTAGAGAAACTGCACTGCACGAGAGAGGCGGGCGGGCGGCGGGAGCGGGAGCACGGAGTGGCTGGAACCTTGGGGAAGGGAAACGCGGCCCGGCCAGGGAGATGCCAGCCCAGACGTCTGCAGAGATCAAGGGGCAGGAGACTCAGGGCTGTAGGAGAGAGGTAATGAGACCCGGGCAGGAGGGAGCCCTCCCCACCTCGCACCACACACACACACACACACACACACACACACACACACACACACACACACAGAGCAGGTGGGGAAGGAAGGATCTGAGCAGAGAAATGGGGGCTGGGCTGAGCCACCCGACAAGGGAGGAAGAGCGAAGGCAGCCAAGGAGGCTAATTTGGTGCTCGGAATTGTGGACACATCCGTGACAGTAAATAAAGGGAGTGTCTGATGTCACAGTATTTACAAACCATATGCTCCAAGCCGCCCACAGCCTTCGCCCACGAGTGGGAGGGCGTGGGAGGGCCGGCCCCACGTCCAGGCAGAGGGAAAAGGCGGGGTGCTGGCCTGGATTCTGTGCCTTGAGACTCTCCTCCAAAAAGCAGAAATAAAGCCAGCGTCCTCTGGGGCCGGAGATAGCACAGCGGGGAGGGCGTCTGCCTGGCAGACGGTCCCCCCCCACACCCCGGGGCTTAATCCCCAGCATCCCAGATGGTCCTCAAGTACCACCAGCAGTGATTCCTAAGTGCAGAGCCCAGGGGGGGATTCCCACCCCACAAAAGAAAGCAAGTGTCCTTGTTCTGCTTGGGGGTCTGTCATGTGTACCCCCCCGGGGGGGGGTGATGGGGAAGCTCAGAGCTGAGGCGCACCAGCCTGGTGAGACGGTCCTAGTCCCAGGTATAGGTTGAGTCTTGGGATGGGGGTTCTGCCCCACCGAAGGTCACTGGGGGCATCTTGCGTGAGGGAAAGAGATGGTCACCCCAGGCATTCCTGAAGGAAGCCCCAAGCATCAGTGCCCGGAGGACAAGGAGGATGTCAGTGCGCAGCCTGGCTGGGCACCATGGGGGATGCTGACTCCGCTTGACCCCCATGCCAGCCCACAGCCACCCAGCACTGGACATTTCAGCACCAGCGCTTGTGGCAGGTCAGAAAACCCACTGGATTTGGCCTGGAATGTTCTGCAGGGCCGAGAGCTGCCAGTTCCTGTCAGACGAGTTGGGTTTCCCCCGCCAGGACTGAGCCCCAGCCCCGCCCACTCGTGGGGCAGCCCCAGGTGCTGCTTCTAAGTGAGGCACCTCAGGTGGCCTGGGGGGCCGGAGGGGGGGTGGTGCTTCTCGGGTTCCCCCCCAGCCCTGCATTTCTCGGCGAGACCGAGACCACTAAGGAGCTAGGGGTGTCACATGTGGAGCCAGCCCAGCACTCCAGGAATCTGAGGGGCAGCCAGGGTTGGATCCCCGACACCCCAAGTGACCCCTTGAGCCCGCCAGGAGGGACCCCTAAGCACAGAGCTAGGAGTCAGCCCTGAGCACCGCCAGGCAGGGCTCCAGAGTGCCATGATCCCTTCCCTAGGGACAGGCCAGTATGCTGTCCTCTGGGTCACTCTGGAGGACACAGGCCTGACCCCAGACTCTCAGGACCTCTGTCCGCTGGGTGTCATCCCTGCCAGCTAGATTCCTGTGAGAGGCATGCAGGGGCAGGAATTCCCTTCCGGCTATGGAATCGTCCGGAAGTCCCACAACACAGCTGATGCCTGTCAGGTGTGGTCCTGCAGGGAAGACGGGACAGGCCAGGTGACATCATTGGACCTCAACTAGCCCACAGCCAAAGGGACCGGCAGGGCCTGCAGGCCACAGGTTTGCCTGGTCCCAGCAGGCCCCGTTGGCCCTGCCAGAGGCGTCCTTTGGGCTTCTGTCGCTCAAGCCATAGGCTCTCCGAAATTGTCCAAAACTTTGTAATTCACGGTGATTCAATTAAATTTTTTTTATGGAAATAAAGGTATGATCTCAGAAATAATCCTAGGGTTGCATGGGACTCTGGGGTCACGGCATTTCCCCTGCCCATGGTTGACACTGGTCTAATCCCCATTGGGTCCCCGGAGCATTGCCGGGGGTCCCTCTTGAGCACAGAACTGGAGGGGCCACTAAGCACTGCTGGGCATGGCCCAAAAGAACCTTCCAGAATACTCAAAAGATTCCTCTCTGCTCGCCTGAGGGACACTCAGGTGTGGGTCAGGTGGCCGTAATTGGGGTCATCCACCCTGCAGGCCGCCTGCACTTCCTCTGGGTCTGGGAGAAGGAGTGGGGGGGGGGAGGGTATGCCAGAGATCTGGGCACTTGTCCAGCGTGGCCACAGTCAGTGGACCCCGAATTTTCTGTCCTCCTGGTCTGAGGACGCATTGCATGTGTCCTCTGTGAGAGGGCCCACCAGTCACATGGCTGGCTGTGTGGTAAGGTGGTTAGGGACGGGAGGGGCAGCCAATGGAGTGCACCCACTTCAGTAGCGCATGTGCGGCCCTTGACCCCCAGAGAGACGTTGTTGAGTCCAGAGACCCTCAGAGTCTCCCACAAACACACATCACTTCCCTTTTGGGACAAAGGTGCCGACCCCCCCCCCCCCCCCCGCCTTTCCCGACTCCATCTCGTCCTTTCCCTCTTCCAGAAAGAGAAATGCCCCTGAGCCTGATCATTTGTGGGCCAGTGTCACCCTCGGGGGTCTGGAGGTGCCAGTTGAACATTCTGGTCTCGGGGATTGGCTCATTTATTCCACCAACCGAGAGCTGCAAAGCACCTCTGGGGGATACAATCAGCCCAGGGGTCCTTCACTGCACCCTGCCCGTTCTGCCCTCTCCCTACATCTGGGTCACTGCCTCTGCCTTAGCTCCGTCTGCCCTCACTCCTTTTCCAGACTAGGAGGGGGCTGGCACCCCTCGCTGCCCCGCCCCCGCAGGCGGCCCCCCCGCTGGGAGCCGGCAGGAGCTTCTTAACATGCCAGGCTGATCCCAGCGGGGGGTCTCTTCCATATCCTGCAGGGGCTCCCGCAGCTTGCAGGCTAGAGGCTAAACTCCTTATCTTAGCACCCAAGAACGACAGTGCGTTTATGCTGGGTCAGCTTCAACCCCCCCCCCCCACACACACACACGTGGCCCCTATATGCACCACATCCTCTCTGAGCTGAGACTGAGACCCCCTTCTGTTCCTTTCTCTCCACTTCTTTCTTTTCTTTTTTTTTTTTAGCTTTTTTGGGTCACACCCAGCGATGCTCAGGGGTTCCTCCTGGCTCGTGCACTCAGGAATCACTACTGGTGGTGCTCAGGGGACCCTATGGGATGCTGGGAATAGAACCTAGGTTAGCTGCATGCAAGGCAAACGCCCTACCCGCCGTGCTATTGCTCCAGCCCCTCTCTCCGCTTCTTTCTTTTTTTTTTCTCTCTCTCTCTTTTTTTTGGTCATACCCTGCGATGCTCAGGGGTTACTCCTGGCTCATACTCTCAGAAGTTACTCCTGGCGGTGCTCAGGGGACTATAATGGGATGCTGGGAATCGAACCTGGGTCAGCCAGCCAAACGCCCTCTCCACTGTGCTACCGCTCCAGCCCCTCTCTCCGCTTCTTGGCCTCAATCTGGGCGGCCCTCGACGTCCCACGGTGCTGTTGCAGGTCTGCTGCTTCAGGCATTTCACCCCTAGCCCCACTCGGCTCTTGTCAGCTTGCCACGTGGCCAGTGAAAGCAAGTCCAGTAGCCTCTGTGGCTGCCTTCTCGGCCACCA